ACCGGGCCGGGCCGGGCCCCGCGCCCCCGCACGGCCCCTCCGGGCCCCTCGGGTACCAGCTCGCTCACAACCCGGCTCCCCAGGAAGGACCCTCGCGCGTCCCCACTGCCACCAGCGGCCTCTCCCTGCGCTGCGCCCCCCGAGTCTGCCTCAAGCCAAGCACCAGCTCTTCATTCCCCCACTCAGTTTTCCAAGGAAAACCCTCCGTGGTGGGGTGTTTTTGTAGGTCAATGCCTCACTTGGGGCATGCAGGATGCGATCAATAACTTAGAGCCAACAAACACTCTGCTGACCCACGTCCAAGTGGCGTTTTGGTGCTTTCCACATTTATAAAAGGTTTCCTTTCCATGATCAGCCCGTCTGCACATACCCCTGTTTTTGGCTAGTTTCAGCAGAGTATTAGCATTGCATTAGGAGTCTGGAAGATAACTAAGTCCCAGGAAGTTCTGTGCAAGTGCAGAATGGAGAGAAATCCTTCAAGCTGGACTCTCCCTCCCCCGGCTCCGCCAGGTTCCTCAGCGACCAGGACCTGCTGGATGCCCGGAACGGTGCAATCGGCTGCTCCCCTCACACCCCGGGAACACTGTTTTCCAGTGAATCAGTAGGAACACTAACACTCAATCCAAGTTACCAGGGCAGGTGCAACTTCAGAGAGTTGTGGTATTTCAAGCCAAAAACTAACCCAAAGATGCTGCATACACATTCAATAAGCTGCTGCTGAAATGCAAAGATTTGGAGGAAGTTGAGGTACAAACTGGACTTTCTGAAGCTCGGTTCTCACTAAGGCTCTTGTTTCCAAAGGTATGCAAAACAAATGGAAAGAAACATTGACATTCAGGAAAAAAAAAAAAAACACTACTGAAGATAAACTGCTAGGAAGCAGGATAGCATCTCCGAAAGAGAGGTTTTGGAAGTGTTCAAAAAGCAAAGCTAAGTGTGCTGCAGGGCAAGGCCAGGACAGGGACGGCTGCTCACGGCATCGTGGCAAGTCCCCAGCGCGGGCGGCGAGGCCGGAGCGCAGCATCGCTCCCAGCGGGGCAGGCAACGCACTGGAAATACATCCTGCAAGGACGCCCAGGGCCTCCAGGGGCTGTCACAGCCTGTGTGAGGTACCTCAGAGCATGGGGCTTAAAGAAATAAGTAGGTCGACACTCATCTGTTGAACAGCCATAACAAAAAATACCCAGGCCTCTAATTGAGCTAATGGGTCCCAACGGCCTCCTGGGGACTCCGCTGCAGACGAGGGCCACACGGCTCAGCGCGATGCCCTACAGGGTCTTCTTTCCATGGTTGGACTGTCGTAATCGCCGCTGTCGCAGGGCCAGGCCATTCACAGGCGCCTGCAGTGCACACAGGCTGCCTGGGTTTCTGCAAGAGCCCCAGGACACACTTACAGCTTGGCTTTTCCCAAGCCCCGCAAAGCAAACCGAGCCGGAATGACCAGGTGACCTGAGCAGGCAGTGACACGTGGATAGCTACGGAGACCACTCCAGGCTAGGAGCTGCCTGCTAGCTCATGAGAGCAATTCCTTCATAACCCAAACGCGCTGTGTTCTTAACCAAACTCCGTACCAACTACATGTCTGCAGCAAGCGCAGCCTCCCATGCCGCCGGCCCGCTCCTTCGGGCCGCGCCGGCAGCTTGGCCGGAGGTGGCGCCGGGAAGGAGCCGCGGCGCGGGCTGCCTCGCACCGATGGCGCTCGTCTCCTGCCTCCAGAGATGCGTCCAGCTCGCCCTCTTGCCCGTCTATGTGCTCGTCCACCTGGGCTTATGGGACACTGTCTATAAGAAAGTTTTCCCTTACATCATGGCCAGGCTTGCATCAAGCTACAACCGCAAGGTGCACAGGCAGAAACAAGAGCTGTTCAGCAACTTGGGACAATTTGTGGGCCCTGGGGGTCAGCTCAGGCTGCTGGAAATCGGCACAGGCACCGGCACCAACTTCCAGTTCTACCCCGCAGCCTGCCGGCTCACGTGCACCGACCCGAACCCCAACTTCGGGCAGTTCCTCCGCAAGAGCCTCTCAGAGAACCCCCACCTCTGTCTGGAGCGCTCACTGGTCGCTCCTGGGGAGAACCTGCACCAGATAGCAGAGGGCAGCGTGGACGTCGTGGTGTGCACGCTCGTGCTGTGCTCCGTGAGCAGCGTGGAGAGCGTCCTGCGTGAGGTTCTGCGGGTGCTCCGGCGGGTAAGCCGCAGCAGCGCCACGGGGCATGAGCCTGCTCTCACTTCTCACTTCCTTCCCTTGCCAAATCCTATTCCTTGAAGCTTTTCCTGACGGGCAGGCCAGTTTCTTCACTTTATTGTGAAGAAACTGTATACAGTTCTGTATACTGTATTCTTCACTGTAGATCCCTGCAGACCCTTCTCTGCGCACAGGAGAGCATCCTCCCTCCTGCATTGTGCACACGCAGATGCAACAAAATCAAAGCAGCACTTCTGGGCTGCACAGTGATCCTCAGAGGCTGTTTCTTTGGTGCTGCTTCACCTGCAGATGGAAGAACTGATTCATCCTGCTTTAATCCTCCTACTTAGTCCCTGCCCAGGGCGCTGCCGCTCCGGGGGCACTCAGGGACAGTGCTCAAACAGGGCACCCGGATGGCCTGCAAAATCTCCGAGACCAGAACTCCGGGGGGAGCAAGAGCCGCTGATTATGGCAACAGAACGGTGGGAGCGAGGGCCACGAAGGGAGAGGAGCAGGGAGCAACGTGGATTCTAACACGGGGAAAGATTAACAAGAATTTCGGTCTGCAGGTGCCCTGCACCTTCACTACCAACTGCTCTAGCCTTTAGTCCTCATCCCCCTGACCAGGAATTAGTGCTATCATCTAAGCGTAAACTGTAGAGCACCACACTTGCACATATTTATTTCTCCTGCCAGTTAACTCAGAATATTGGGAAGGGTTTAAATTTAACTTCAGGTCAATCATATCCACATGGTTAAATCTATGCAACAGGTCAGAACTTTCCTGTGTAAATAAGACTTCATCCCTGCTTCCTTCCTCAAAGAAACCCCAGACACTCCTGCAAAGCAAAACCGGGGAAGAGGGAATAAGATGATCCCCAGCTGAGGAGGGGATGAAAATACCCGCTCAGCTTGACTTCTCTATGGGGATCCATTAGACAGCCTTTATTGTTATGAAAAGGCTTGCTTAAAACACGGGATTTGCCTTTTATCTGCTGTTTCTGAACATTGAAAGCCATTGAACTAGATGTGGCAAAAGATCCACTTAAACAGGAACAGGCTACACAGGAGGGACAAAGAAAAGCCCTGAGGAGCTGCAGCCTCTCCCCTCCGGGACCCTCGCTGCTCCTATCAGCTCTGGCGCAGTGAGAACTGAGCCCTTTCAACTGCTGGGGTGCAGGGTAAGCAGCTGGTTTGCTCACATTGCAGAATGGAAACACAGGGAAGTGGCTTGTCCAAGGTGCTGCAGGGCAGCTGGGCAGAGATAAATACCCTGTGACAGCAATCGCCAACCACCAGCCCCTACTGCCCCTTGCAGAATTTCGAATTGCACCTCCTGCGCAGATGGAATGGGAGGCATGCAGGGACTTCACGGCTCAAACATGAATCCACCACGCACAATCTCTAGGAAAGGAGGCCAGTCTCCAGGGAGGGAAAAAAGGCAGCCTGTTTGCTACATAGTAAACAATAAAATTGGCATACAGAGTTGAAAAGCCCTTTTTGCATCTTTTATGGCCTTGTTTTCCAGGGTGGAGCATTTTACTTTTTGGAGCATGTGGCTGCAGATCGATCGAGCTGGACCTACTTCTGGCAAAAGGTCTGCGACCCGGCCTGGAAGTGCTTTGGAGATGGCTGTTCCTTGAGCAGAGAGACACAGAAGGACCTGGAGAAAACCAAATTCTCCGAGCTGAACTTGAGGCGCGTGCACGTCCCTCTACGCTGGATTCCTGCCAGTCCTCATATCATTGGATATGCAGTAAAATAAACGGCCATGAGCACTGAAGGACCCAGAGCCGCTTCGGCAGCTCTCTTCACACTTTTTATAGAGTATTTTTCACTGGATAGTAGCCTTGGAGTAAACTCATATACAGCACCTAGTACTCAGAATAAAAACATGGCAAACTTCCTGAGTTTCCACATCTTGTTCAAGCAGGAATCACACTCTTCCATTTGTTGGGCAGGTTTCTAGACAAGCTGTGGCACAAGGACCAAGCACACTGGAAACACAGAGAACGTGTTTCACTGCAGCACAGAATAAAGGAGTCACCACTCAGGAGCTGAGAAAGGGAAGAGGAAAAGAGGGAGCAGATCAGTGCCAGCAAATATAGAGAGCTAACGTTCTTTGAATAGCAGAGACTATTACTCAGCCCCTACGATTTCAGGGCACATACAAAATAGATACAGCACAAGCATTTTTCTTTCTGTCTTCCCATTGCAAAATACCCCTAGGAGCCAGTGCTCGTCCTCCTGCACCAGTGGAGTTATTCAGGGCAGTGCCCATCACAGCACCAGATCGCTCCTCGGAGCTTCCCCTGGCCATTAGACGCCAATGCCATCAGCCTGGGCTTAACTTGCAGCCTATGAAGCCAAAGACAGAATTCCTCCTTATGCCTGGGGAAAGGGTTGATGAATCAGGTGGCAGAAGTCTCATCTCAGCTGCAAGATGGTCACTGCTGAGCCCTGCAGGCTCTTACAGCCCTTTCGATACACTCTGTTAAGAAGTTAAACCCATGCTTAAACCCTTCGTATTCTATTATACCTAAGGTGTCAAGTCTATCCTAAAAGCCACATTTCATTAGGAGTGTTTTCCAGATAAGCTTCCCTAGGACACCAAGAAGAGGCACTGCTCTCCTGGCCACTCTTTAACGTTCTCTTTCATTTCTCACAGTAAAGCACCTAAAAATTAATACCCAGAGCAAACGATTTTTGAGGAAACACTGCCCATTTTGTGGTCAATGCACATCCAACCGGTGTGCACAGAAAGGACCCCTGAAGTATTTCCCACTGCTCAGGCTTGTTTCTCTGAGGCAGTTTCCCCATGGTGAAGCCAGGGCAGGCAGGGCAGTAGCAAAGCTGTTCTGTAATGCTGCTTTTCTAGGCTGGGCACTTTATTTGTTTCTTACCACTAGAGGGAGGTGGCAACACCTGGGACAACGAAGCTCCCTTGTGCTCAGCAGAAAAACAAACCACTCCAGGGCAGGAGTGTTTGAACGCGGCCTCTAAAGCCAAGTGGTGCAAACAGCTCCCTCCCCCTCTCCTGGGAACACTCGAAGGAGCAGCTAAACCCGGCGGCAAATCCGCACTGCCACTACTAACCCCCGTGGAAAAACACTCGTGGCAGCAAAGCTGAGAAAGGTTTCCAAAAGCATTTAGCATAAAATGGACTGCATGGTGTCAGCTCGGACTTATTACGTCAATAAAAGCTATTAGAGACAGTGACTACTGAATGAATCTATTGTTTTATCTCTGGTCCGTGATTGCTTTCAAAGATCTGAAAGGTAACTATGAAAAGCAAGTTTATTCACCACAACGGAGCCCACAGACACACTGTAGGGATTAAATAGTTAATGTAGAGTGTGCTAATAAGCTAGTCAATACTTAGTCTCAAAGTGCAAGGACTCCTGATATATGGCAAGTCAGGATGTTCTGCATGGAGGGGTTGCCTATCTGCAAAGACTCCTAATATATGGCAAGTCAGGATGTTCTGCATGAAGGGATTGCCTATCCAGGTGTCCCAGTCAGCAATAAAATATAGATAACATTGACATGAAAGAAGAAGAGGAAAACGGGAGGGGGAACATTTTTGGGGTAAGAACGGTATAAAAGAGGGACGACCGAAGCGGTCGGGGTCCGTGGTGTGACCCCTGCATGGGAAAGGCCGGACCTCCAGCTAGCTGGTAATACTTAATACCTTTCTCCTATTATTAAAAAGCACAACAGATATCAATGGTGTTTGCCTCTCTCCATCAATTCGAAAACCGGACCCAACAACACATCAAAATGTTTTAGGTTCCCACAAAGTAGAAAGACCGAACACACATGCTGCAGAGAAAGCACCCAGCAAGCAGCTGACTTGCTCATCCAGCTACTTTGGATACCTAACACAAGGTGGTAAGAAACCTTAAATACATGTGTTTTAACCAAAATGTTAATGCAACAAAATTAAATACTTATAGCAGACCTGGAGTTCAAATCAACTTCCCACCACTCACTGAAAACAAGATACGGTTTCTTTAAGAGATACAAACTGTAATCTGAAACTGTGGAACACCAGATCAGGGCGAGTGATGACAATTTGCCAAAAATTAAGTACAAAGATGTACTGTCCAGTTTACCTTGGTTACTTAACAGACTGGCAACTCCTTTTCTGCCAGAGCTGGGACACAACAGTAACTGTTTGGCAAGCAGTGCTGTTTTCCCCTTTCTCGCCTGTGACTGGACTTAAAAATCGGCTCTGGAGAGAAGTCCATTCGATCAATGCAACACGTTGCACAGCAGCAGGAACGCAGCAAGAGAACAAGCACCACGCAAAGAGCTCTGCGCGGCACGGACCCTCTGCCCGCGTGCTGGGCACGATGGAGACCAGCGTGCTCCTGCTGCGCGTCTGCCTCGCGCTGCTCGCCATGCCCATCTACCTGCTGTCGTTCCTGGGGATATGGAAGCCTTTCTGTGAGAAGATATTTTTTCCTTACTTCCTCGAGAAGCTTTCTGTAATTCACAACAGGAAAACACACAGGCAGAAGCAAGACTTATTTCGTAATCTGCCCGAGTTTGCAAGTACTTCGGGAGAGCTGAAGCTGCTGGAGATCGGCACGGGCTGCGGCACTAACTTCCAGTTCTACCCAGCAGGCTGCAGAGTGACCTGCACCGACATCAACCCTCACTTCCAGCAGACCCTTACGCGAAACATGAAGCAGAACCAGCACCTCCGCTACGAACGTTTCTTAGTAGCCGCAGCAGAAGATCTGAGCCAGGTGCCCAGCGGCTCTGTGGACGCAGTCGTTTGCACGTTAGTCCTCTGCTCTGTGCTGGACGTAGACAGAGCCTTGAGAGAAGTTCTGCGAGTGCTCAGACCCGTGAGTATATGAAGAAGTTTTATGTTATTTCCTTTATCATTTATCACAGAAGCACCACACCAAAACAAAAAGTCACTTTTGAGCTTACAAGTCAAACCCTGTTATTTGCACAGTAAAATGAGATTTGCAACCACCCTGCAATGCTAAATGGTGTAAAGCAGTAGCAGCAGACTGGTCAGGCTGTCTTAGCTCAGCAATAAAAGTAACATAGTGAGTAAGTAGAGCTGCCACACACCAGATTTTCTTTTGGGCAGAAGGGGGAAGGTCTCTGATCAAGGCTGAAACTCTGTGTTTTAAATAAACTGTTTTAACCTCCTAGAACCCACCTGTATGACTAAAGCATCTAATTAAATGCCTTTATTACCTGCAGCATCCCATTCAAATTAAAGATTAAAAAAAATCCTTTTTTTTTGCAGTAGAACTTCAGCCTTTAAAATGTTCCTTTCAGCACGATCCTTTGGGTTGCCAAAAACCCAGCAAGTTCTAGGAGGGTTTATACATTTCACCTAGTTTCCTCTGAAGCATGTCATGCCAGCGACTGCAATTTAAACAAAAAGGCAAAGAACAAGCTCTTGCTGTAAGAACAAAGGGATCAAATAAGCATGCCTTTCATCTTCTCAGAATATGTGTTTTGAACCCCTTCAAGTCTCTTGCTTGTATTAATTCAAATTGACATTACAGAAGGAAAAAAACTGTCAGGAAAGGGGTAGAAAGATAGTGTCAAAGTGAGCAAGTTGCATTTCCCCTGCATTGAACCGCGTTTGAGAAAAGGCGTGTTGGGGAGGGAGGGCGGCGCCTGCTGCGTGCACATTCCTCCTGTGATATTCTAAGATGACTTTGCTTCCCCAGGGCGGCGTTTTCTATTTCCTGGATCACGTGGCTGCCGATCGCTCTAGCTGGAAGTATTTTTGGCAGCAGAGCTGCTTTCCAACTTGGAAACTCGTGTTTAATGGGTGCTGCCTAACAAGGGAGATATGGAAAAACCTAGAACAGGCCAACTTCTCTGAACTGAAATTGCAACACATTAGTGTTCCTCTGACCTGGACACCTATTAAGCCTCATATTATTGGATATGCTGTGAAGTAATTCATGTTGCACCATAGTTTTCTCCTGTGCCCTTAAAGAAATTCCTTGATATAGACAAAGCAGCAAAATAGTATATGTTAATCTAAACAGTCACATCCACAGCAACATGATTAAACTTCAGCTATCTTATGTTTCTGCTTTAAATGTCAAATGAGAAAGTGCTTTAGCTTTCTTAAAAATCTTGAAATAACTATGTTGATCACAGGCTTTACAGGTGAAGATTCAGAAACTGGTATTCTGAAGTTTCAATTAACAAAAATAAAGCAGATGGACCTGAGCATGTTAAACCTTAGATGGACTGCTGTTTGCTACCAAGTGCCAGAATCCCCCGGGCGCACGGCCACTCGAGGAAGGCCATGCTAACCCGGTGCGGCCATGGGCACGAGCACACACACACACTCCTACCCCTCCGTACCTCATCTAGCCACAGTTTTGAAACCAAGCTGATGCCCTGCAACAGCAACAAAGGGGGGGGAAAAAAAAGAAAGAAAAGACAAAAAAAACACAAAAATAAAAACAAAAAACACCTTCTTACTGAGGGGAGCCTGTGGTTACAGGATGCTGGGGATTCCTTCGGGCACTCGCAGGCCAATTCTCGCTGCACAGGAGTCCGCAGAGCACATCCAAGGTGGACACTCAGTGATGACTTCAGGGCAAGCCACCGCATTGCCAGGCCGCTTCCCACTGTGCCAGCCCAGCTCCTTCCTCCTTCTTCGCGCCTGCTGTCACAGCTTGCTTCCAACACATAAAGCAGGCAGACAGCCATGAGACTCTCAGGGTAATTGCTGCCTAAGCCACAAATACCCACAAGCAACCAGACTAGAGAGGCTCCCAGGGCATTAAAGGACAGGAATCTCAGAATTATGTGTCCACTCACTAAGGCAGAGCTACAGAGCCGAGCTGGGAAGCTCCAGAGAAGGCCGTGCAGAACCAACGTGGCGCCCCTTCAAGCACCGCGCGGTCATTAGCGGCCGTTAGCGCATCACGTGCCCCGCCTCGGCGCCGCCGCCATTTTGCCCCGTCGCAGCACGACGCGGTCGAGGTTCCTCGTTGC